ACGGGCCAACCATAATAATTCACAAACTTACCATCCACAATAATCAAACCTATAACATCTCACTCGCAAGTGAAAAACAATATTACTAAAATCGTAGTACTAAATAGTGAATGCAATTTACTATTAAGTCTTATCTGATATTTCACGTATTAGAGATTCTTCGTCTAACTAATCATGCCAGAAATCCCAATTCTCAGTAGTTCAGACATCATAATCCAAATTCCTAACGAAATAATTACAAAACAGCTGTTGGAAGTTGGGACCAGCCATCAATGTAAAAAGAGGGCAACAATTTCTGTATAAGAACAAACCAAAGCTCATGTCATCATAAACAAAATAGCACCAATATCCTTCGGATTCCGATTTGTGGGGTCCTCTAAGAAGGTAACTTCAGTTAGCAAATTCCCGTCCATACCCGGAAATTCAAGAGCGAACCAACATCCGACACACATAATCGAATTTAACAATTAATCGCGCACTAAAAAATTCGAGAGTAAATGTAATCCACTGACCGCAAACCAATCCGATAGAGTTTCATTTTTATGTTAAATCAAAGTGTACGACGTTTGAATGTAAATGAAGATCACTAAAAAAATTAACCAAGCACACTTTTGACTAGTGACCGCAAACCAATCCGATACAGGGGATTATTCTATAACTAGTGACTCAACTTTTTCCATACTACTATGATCACAAATTTTCAAAAGAAACTGTGACAAAATCTCAATCAGTTCCAAGTGGTCCATCCACTTAAAGGAAAAAAAAGAAATGTAATGACAAATAAGTGGTTCCTATCATGGCGGTCAAATTTCTATCAAGATATGAAATTTCAAAAGTTCCATATAATTTCATCCACAACAAGGAATCTTGCATCTAATTTTACCTTAGCTTTCTCAATTGCATTCAACAGAGATCAGAAGAGCGAAACTCGGAGAGACTCGTTGAGTCATGGCCTTCTATGGACCGAGACTGGTTGTGCCTATAGACGTGAAGAAGAAGCCATGGGAACAGAAGCTTCCTCTTCACAATCGGTGGCACCCGGACATACCACCGGTGGCAGAAGTGGCAGCTGGAGAGGTTTTTCGTGTCGAGATGGTGGATTTCAGTGGTGGTGGGATTACCAAAGAGTACACTGCAGAGGACATCAAACATTCCAATCCCTCCATTGTAAGTTCCCCTTCATATTCACGTGTGTTTTGTAGCTTTTCCACTCGTACTGAGTTCCATCTAGTTTGGAAGAGCAATGCCAAAAACCGAGTTCCGCAAGGTTCGAAAAAGCGAAAAAATGCTGGATTTGTCAGTCAAGTGAAAAATAGGCAAACTGTTGTGTTGTATTTGTCCCGTGCTGAAAACTTGAAAGGTAGTTGGGGACCGACCTTTGGAAAAATATATCACCCCATTTGTCATCCAGCGAATGTAAGGATACCATCGTCCTTCCTCTTTCCTACAATAGATGCTATTGAGTTGACCTAATTGTATAAAACATACATCCCTATGCTCCCTGTTTTTCCACTAGTTCATCTATGGCTCCCCGGACTCCGAGACTAGTCGTGCCAGTAGACCTGAGCAGAAAACCGTGGCAGCAAAAGCTACCCCTTCACAACCGTTGGCACCCTGACCTACCCCCGGTGGCGGAGGTTAAAACCGGTGAGGTCTTTAGAATTGAGATGGTAGACTGGACTGGAGGTACTATTAAAGATGATGACTCTGCACTAGATATAAAGTCCATAGACCTCTCAACAGTAAGTATGGATTTTATCCTATGTTAAAAAATGGTACATATAGGATCGAGTTAAGATCTTGAGTCTACAAATTATTGAGATCATCAGTCACTACTCGTTTATAATGTAATCAGTAGTATGGAGAACAAGAACATCTAGAATGGTAAATTAATGTAAGAGTAATATGTTTCAAACTTGTGCAGGTTCATTACCTCAGTGGGCCGATTAGAATTTCGGATTCCGATGGAATTCCAGCACAGCCAGGCGATCTTCTGGTGGTTGAGATATGCAACTTGGGTCCTCTCCCAGGAGATGAATGGGGTTTCACTGCGACATTTGACAGAGAAAATGGAGGGGGTTTTCTGACTGACCATTTTCCTTCTGCAACCAAAGCTATCTGGTATTTCGAAGGGATATATGCCTACTCGCCTCACATACCAGGTGAAATCTCAACCTATTTCCTTTTCTCGTGCCAGTAACGTTGTTAAAAGATTCAGTAGGGTACTCCTGTCACTAACATGGTATTGTATATGCATGTCAGGAGTGAGATTCCCAGGGTTAACCCACCCCGGAATAGTTGGAACAGCACCATCAATGGAACTCCTGAAAATATGGAATGAAAGGGAGAGGGAACTTGAAGAAAATGGACTCAAGACTATGAAATTATGTGAGGTTTTGCATCAACGACCCTTGGCTAACCTACCATCAACAAAAGGTTGCGTCCTTGGAGGGGTATGCGACATTGAAAACTACTAAATTTAGGCTATCAAAATAACAACTATCAAAATAACAATGAACCTGCAGCACAACTCAAATTTTTATAATTGCTTTGCTGCATACTACAAGAATTGTAAAACCCTGCAGCCTACTGCACAGAGACAATATCACAATAACCATGCTGTCTTGTTATACTAACACGTCCTGGTTATACATAGATCAAAGAGGGCACTCCTGAATGGGAAAAGATCGCCATGGAGGCTGCAAGAACCATTCCAGGAAGAGAAAATGGAGGCAATTGTGACATCAAAAATCTTAGTCGTGGTTCAAAGGTATACCTTCCAGTATTCGTTGAAGGAGCAAATCTTAGTACTGGTGACATGCACTTTTCCCAGGGTGATGGAGAAATTTCATTCTGCGGGGCAATTGAGATGAGCGGATTCCTGGAGCTCAAGTAAATATTCCACATCTCATCTCTTAAACTTTTACTACAGCCAAACTAGAGGCTTCATGAGAAAGGGCAGGAACTTGTTATAATAGCTAAACGATCCTACTTATACATTCAAATTTGGCATAAAACAAAATGTGACACATACAGATAAGTATACACACACATATATGTAATACAGTTCAGTTTACCCTATATGATCCTATTATTAGGTGCGAAATTATAAGGGGAGGAATGAAAGAATACCTTACACCAATGGGGCCCACACCTCTTCACGTAAACCCAATCTTTGAGATAGGCCCGGTCGAGCCAAGATTCTCAGAGTGGTTGGTATTTGAGGGCATCAGTGTTGACGAGAGGGGGAAGCAGCATTACCTAGATGCAACTGTGGCGTACAAGCGTGCAGTACTCAATGCTATTGACTACCTCTCTAAATTTGGATACTCCAAAGAACAGGTTTCGACTTCTCTCCTTATCACATAGCCAATTCCCAACAACTCACAATCACAAGCATACACAGAGACAACGAAAGATTCATATTACTGCAGTCTTCCTTACTGATCTAGCATCTGTCACGTATCAGAGCTACCTTCTGTTGTCATGCTGCCCGTGTGAGGGAAGAATTTCCGGTATAGTTGACTCTCCCAATGCTGTTGCAACCCTAGCAATCCCAACAGCTATCTTTGACCAGGTAATTATTTCTGGCCAAGCCTCCTAAAGATTTATATTACCCTATACTAATACTACCACTTTCCCATCCACAAAATGTTTCCAGTTATAACATGTTGCTATTTTACACTACCTACTCAAATGACTGAAGTTACAATAGCTACATATCTAGATGCTTAATGCAATAGCTTATATTATATTCATGCATACTACATACAAATATAAATAAGAGTCCTCTCCTGAACTTTTTCACAGTAAATTCATGTTTCAAGGAGCAAAAATGAGCTTGTCTAGTCAAAACAAAAGCAATCACAAAATATAACAACTTAATTACACAGTACACTTATATTTTACTTTAACTTGGATGATCCCTCAACCTTAATGCTCAAGCAGAAAGGTCTAAGCTATCCGTAGAAGTCGTAATTGATCAAAAACTTTTTCGTATGCACACCAAGGTAACTAACCCAAGGCTACAAGCATAATGGAGGCAATGTGCTTTCCTACAACAAAGCTCACAATAAATTACTCATAAACAGAAATGATTTGTTGTAAAGCCTATTGATATGTTTAAATTACTTTCTCTAAATGCACAGGATATTCGCCCAAAAGCAAACAAGGTGCCTGTTGGTCCCCGGATAGTGAGGAAACCAGATGTCCTAAAATGTAGTTATGATGGAAATTTGCCAACGACAAGGAACCCTAGCTCTGCAACATAACCATCATCAAGAGTGCTCAGTAAATAAAAGTCATTTCGGCCTTTATTTTTCATTCCTACTAAGTTATGCAGGTATTGGGATATATAGAAAGTAGAACTGAATTGTCAAAGTAAACCATCTACATTCTATGTAAGCAGTGCAGGTACATTGTAGCAGGTACATTGTAATAGGGTAAAAAGATCATGAACAAATCATGCAGCAAAAAGTTCAACCCTATTTGCCCTATGACTTCAAGTTTGAATAATGAAAAACTATTATAGCAGCAGCAGGTAAATGTTTAGACTGGACCTCGAAAATCTGAACAAGGCACTAATACATAGAATATGCTTGTGTCATCGGTCTGATGTCAAGCATGCTGTTGCTACTCCTCATCAGCTGAGTCTTCTTACCCATCTACTACTTAAATTGGCAATAATCTGAGAGTTGATTTTCACCAATCATCTTCTAAACTGCCAATATATATCAAGATTGAACTAATCTTCACAAGGTAGATCAGAGCCATGATATAAGTTTATACATGGATGGTAATTTTTAACGCATATAAACCAATTGAGGAACAGACACATGTAGAGTGCAGGAGCAGTGTTTACTATTGGACTCTTGACTTCAAGTGAGATTCAGTGGGTTCATAAGATAAAAATAAGCAAAAATCATGCACCAATTTGAACCAGATCTCTTATCCTGCAATGCAATTCTCTGATCACAAAAACTACTAAACGCCTGCTGCCACATTCAAAAGGCATTAAAATTCTTATGTTCAGTAAAATCACAACAAAAATTGACACGTGGTAAAGAAAATATTTCAGTCGGAAACTACATACTAAATCATTTAGTTACGATAACATTCTTGATCTTCATTTGTTCAACAATTACTAGCTGAACTATGCAAAATTATAGAAGCCACAACACTTCCAAAAGGAAATAGGATGTCAGAAATTGTTTCATACTAATCCAAAGACTAACTAGAAACTTCAAAGCCAAAAAATTTCCATCCTCCGAATGACATAGATAGCAAAGGTGTACTCTAAGATATAGTGCACTCAATAATATATAGAGAGGGTTCGATGGTGTTGCAGAGCAGGACACTGAATGCCAAAAGACCAAAGCCAAAGGTCTAACTCAATACTCAGCACCTGAAAAAGAAACCCCACTGGTAAATCAAAGGGATTGATTAGAGATGATAAAGAAAAGAAAACTGATGCAGGATACAGTTTCAAGTGCAAAGGCACAACATGGTCCAACAACAGTTCACTTGGGTGAGAACAGAATTGGTGCAAAAATCCGAATGTTTTATTACTTAAATGCAGCCACAAGAAGAATTTAAATGTTCACATACAAAAAATTACAGACTATGACCACGACTGAAAATAACCATACCTGCTTCCCTGATTTCATACTGATCAACTCCTTCATTTTCTCGACAGCATATATGGAGCAAGCTCGCAGTTCAACTTCCTCCTCACTGCCTGCAACTATTTGACTATTAGCCTCGATAGCGCTGGCAAGGGTTGCACTATACTTCAGCACACCCAGCTGTTGAAGCACGGCTGGAACAATATAGTCCGCCATAATAGTGATTGAGCCAATGTCATAAAATTCTCCATATCCTTGGCCTCCAAATGCACCCCATAAATCTGCTGCAAATATCTGAGCTCTTTTATACAAAAATACTTGGTGGCCTTTGTATACTGAGTGGTCTCGGAAACCTAGAAAGTTTAATTAGTTACAGTAAATATGCCTGTTTCCTTGGGAATAACCCCTACAAACTCTGCAGCTATCAAAAATGACTTTAAACCCTAAAATGTACCAGGAAAGTGACGAGTAACCAGAGCTACAAGCTTAACAGCTGACTTTCCACATGACTCCACAAGATTAGATGCTTTGCCATCAAAGCTTCTCTCCAGTTCAAACCCAACCTGGGCCACAAAAGTTAACAATATTTTGAATATTTGACAGGGATGCATCATTTTCCTAAAATGGTATTTGTATTTTCAATTGAGGGTGGGATGATTCTTTAAATAAAAAAATAATCCATAACATCAACGTATATTGTCTCCTGCTTAGACTGATAAATTCAAGAGAAATTAATAGTTACAGACCCAGAGTAATAAAAAAATCAAACAAAAAGAAACTGGAAGGGCATTTCTTAAGAGAATAAGAGAAAATGTAAGAATAAAAGCTTCTGTAAATTTAAAGGTAAATTTTACCTCTTGTAACAAACGAACTCTCTCGTCCTCCAAAGGTAGTGACCTTGGCCATTTCAACAGCTCCCGCAGTTCAGGACCTTATAACATAAACCTCTTTAATCAAATTACTTTCAAGTAGAAGAGTGTCACTTAAGTCAGAGTTTAGAACTTTTAAACTGCCAAACTTGTTAACAAGAGCACAGCTTCACATCCAAAAATTTAACATTCTGTAGAGGCAGTCATTTTTCTTCTACCAATTGGGACAAAGGAGTACACTTGATATATATATATCGCAATTGGTGTGTACATGTGAAAATACATATTTATGGACATGGAGATATGTGTTCAAGAAGATGAGTACCGGTGTATTTCTGCAGACGATCAGCATCAAACACAGATTTGTCATTTTGTATTGCTGCCTTCAGACCGGCAGCCAAATTGTCGTAATTTAAGTCCTTATCTGTCAAGAAAAAGAAAAAATTATAAAGAAACAATTTTAGCACAGAAAACATAGTGAATAAAGTGCATTTGGCAACATTGATATGAATATAATCTCTTCAATCCATAAAATAATTGATCACTTTCCGCCAGCAACTGACATAGGGTTCCATGAGCGACCATATGAAAACCGCTCTACAACAACGACACAGCAGCAGACATACACACATTGAAGTATTGGTTTGACTGTCATGAAAAGTTCAAATCTTGATCAAACTGGCAAGCACTTTTATAAAGAACATTTTTTGTAGCCGAATTTCGCAACTTGGCTCGGTAAAGAAAAGAATAAGTATAATGCCCAAAACATTTTTTCCTTGTTCTCTAATCTACTAAGGTGCTCTGTTTCACTGACCATTATTCTTGAATTATTCTAATAACAAAAACAAAATTTGAGCTACAAAATACAAGAAAATACACTAAAATTTGAGCTCCAACAAAACAAATTAAAAATTTGAAAAAATGGATGCATACCAGGCCAAAAGCAGAAATTCAAAGCGTCCAACACAAAGAGGTACTGAACGGTGAGAGGTCCATTGTCGAAATAGTGTATCCCTTCGAAATCCCATTCCACCTTCGGAATTGTATCTATCGTCTCCGCCACTTTCTCAATCCCTAAAAATAAAAAATAATAATAATTAAAACCCAATTAAAATAATCAAAAACCAACACTAGAGAAACATGAACAAGGTGCGGAGAGACCTGAAGAATCGACGAGGACGTGAGAAGAATGGCTTGCGACCCAAGCAGAGCTTGCCCTAACATCGTCCATGGCTGCTTCCACTCGGCGCTCTGCGTTCAAAGTTCAAACCCTAGAGACAGAGAGTGGGACTTGTGCCTGGTTCCAAGTTTCCCGCTTTTGCTGGTGTCTTTTTTTCGTTACCCTTCCCACGATAATCATTAATAATTAATTAGAGGTAAATGCCCTCCCTGATGATGATTTTATTTCGTTTTTTTTTTTAATTAATTAATTAATTATGTTGTTTCTTTCCATTTTAGCAGTTGTGGAATTCCATTCCGGCGGCCGGAGACTTTTCCGTGTATACTATAGCCACAGAACGGCTCACGTGGGAAAGACCTGCACTTTCTCCCTGCACACACTTTTTCAATGAACTCGTACTGACTAGGATGAGATAAAAAGGTGCACGCTCTTCCTCATGGCACCCCTCTGAATTTTTGTGTGTGTTTTTGGGTCGGATATTCGGAATAGAATTCTCTATCCTCTTATTCCTCATCTCCTTCTTTCCCCACTTTTCACACTTTCTTTTTGTTTTTTTCTATATACAAAATTTAAAACCAAAATGTTAACATAACTTAATAATAACCGTTTATATAAAGAGAGGAAATGAGAGAGAATCATACTCTCGAATCTCCACCCTGACTGAATGGATGTGTGTGTGAAATTGAATGAATGTGTGACTAGTGCTTTTTCTGGTCAAGTGTGAGTGATCCGATTAGGCCTGGCAAACGGGCTGTGTCTGTCGTGTTCGTGTAACATATGTTATCTTAACGGGTTGTGTCGTGTCACACGTGTTATCTTAACATGTCCTTAACAGGTCGAGTCACGGTAAAGTGACCCGACCTGTTATGACCCGTTAAGAAAAAAAAATTCTTAAATTTGCACATACCACACTTTGCCACATAAATATTACTTCAAAACATTAAAACACATAATGTAATATATATATATATATATGTATATAATTATTTTAGTTTTTAGGGGTATAAAAATGTTAAATTAATATATATAATTATTATAGTTTACTCATACTTTCATTAAGTATAACATAAGATTTTGAGGTATCCACTAATGTAATTTTTTTAATTGAAGATCGAATTCATTCATTGTATTCATATAGGGTCAAGGAGTGTAGCTGTAAAAAATCATCAAAATCGGAGTTAAAATAACCGTTAAATCGTGATTTTTCGTTTTATAACCGTCGAAAAGTTTTGTCCTGTTACTTGATCTTTGAATGTTTATTTTTTACAATTTTTGGCGTATGCGATCTTGAAGTATATACAAACATGTTTGACGGTTGGATCGTTGAAACTAGTTTCGTAGAATGCGTATCCCATCAAAATAATAGATTCATTAACACTTAAGAGTTTATTCTTACTTTCATTAAGTATAACATAAGATTTTGTGGTATCCACTAGTGTAAATATTTTAAATTGAATATCGAATTCATTCATTGTATTTATATAGGGTTAAGGAGTGTAGCTGTAAAAAATCATCAAAATCGGAGTTAAAATAACCGTTACATCGTGATTTTTCTTTTTATAACCGTCGAAATGTTTTGTCCCATTACTTGATCTCTATATTTTTGTTTTTTGCAATTTTTGGCGTATGCGATCTCGAAGTATATAGAATCATGTTTGACGGTTTGATCGTTGAAACTAGTTTCGTAGAATGCGTATCCCATCAAAACAATAGATTCACTAAAATTTAAGAGTTTATTCATAATTTCATTAAGTATAACATGAGATTTTGTGGTATCCACTAGTGTAAATATTTTAAATTGAAGATCGAATTCATTCATTGTATTCATATAGGGTCAAGGAGTGTAGCTGTAAAGAATCATCAAAATTGGAGTTAAAATAACCGTTAAATCATGATTTTTCTTTTTATAACCGTCGAAAAGTTTTGTCCCGTTACTTGATCTCTGAATGTTTGTTTTTTGTAATTTTTGGCGTATGAGATCTCGAAAATTTTAATTGAGTGCAACATGAGGGTTAAATTTCCAATATTAAGAGGAGAAAGTTACTAAAAGAGTAGTTGGTGATAGTCTTTGTCTTTTTCTTGTACTCCACTGCCCAATTGAAGACTTGATGCATCGAGTCAACAAAGACTTTAAATTTCCACTACACTGTCAAATATTATGCATTCATAAAATCGAAAGTACGAGTTTTGAAATCCCTTCATTATAAATTCCTTTTATAATAGCAAAACCGTTTTAGTCAATATAACAATACCATGTTATGTCTGCGTACCACATAAAAGCAAAAGTATTAATTTAAATATTTCAGTTAGAAGGGTATTATTGTGAGAGTTCATCCATCATCCTTACTCATGGCTGAGTCATTAGGCAATCAAAACTATTAATAAATCTACATAAATAGCTGTACCAAAATCCCATTTATTAAAATTTAAATGTGGAATTTAATCACATAATTTGAATGAGTAATGCTATTTACACACTATTTTTACTTCTTATATATTTTTCAATTTTCAATTGTTAGATTGAATAAATTAAAAAATATTAACGACAAAAAATTAATAAGGTGTGTGAGAAGTCAAATTAAATGTGTGAATAGCACTCATTTACACATTTTTTATTTTACTTTTCACGTATTTGTGTCTTCAATTTATTCGATTTAATAATCGAAAGTTGAAAAGAGTACGTAAAATGTAAAAAAAAAAATGTGTGATACCAAAAAGAATGAGAGAGAGAGAGAGAGAAGGGCGAAGGACCGGGCATCTGTCCTACTTTTTGTATTGGGCGATTTGATTGATGGCCATAAGGCCCTCCTTGGAATTCACCGTCTCCCACCACCACAACCTTCTCTGCCTCTTCCTTGCGCGCCCCCACCCTCCGTCGTCTCCTCTCTCCTTCTCCTCCCACTTCTTCCACCAGCTCCCGCCGCCTTTCGTCCGCTGCATAGCGTCCTCAGCGACTCCGCTCCCTCACCGCCATACGTCCTTTCACCGCCCCCCGAGGCCACTTCATCCTTATCACGAAACCCTGGCGCAGAAGATCTGTAAAGCGATTCGCCGCCCTGGCGCCCCCTCCAAGGCTAGGACTTACGCCGATGTCAACGTGATCCGACCCAAGGATTACTGGGACTACGAGTCCCTCACCGTCCAATGGGGGTAACGAATTGATGAAATTCTCTGTTTCTTGTTTGGATTGTGAGAAAGTGGAGGAAAATTTGGTTTAGGTTGGTGGGAAGGTTGAATTTTGAGGGATAAATGTTTTTGCTTTTCTGAATTAATTGGGATTATTGTACAGGGAGCAGGATGATTACGAGGTGGTGAAGAAGGTTGGGAGAGGAAAATACAGTGAGGTGTTTGAGGGGGTTCACTGTACCGATAACGAAAAATGTGTTATCAAGATTCTCAAACCTGTTAAAAAGAAGAAGGTGAGTTCTAAATTACATTCCTTTACCTTCTTATCTGTGTAACGAAACGATTGACATTTCATTGTTCTTATCAGTTGGGTAATTCTATTTGTTTGTTTCTGGTTATCATGTCTGCCTGGTTTATATTCATGTAATCGCGGATTATTTACTAGTATACAGCTAATGTTTTCATAGGATTAGTTACCTACAGTGGGAAGTTAGTATATTTTCTGTTCTTTCATTTGTTGTATAGCTAATGAATGAGGATAAGTATAGAGTGAAATTCTATCATGATGTATTTCCTGAAGTTTCGTGCAACCTATTCACTGGAAAACCGAAAAAAGGCTTTGATTTGGAGGTTTAACCAACCCCAAGAAACAATCTTGACTGCACCTGGCATATGAAGTAAAAGTTCTCTTCTGTACAAGAGCTTTGTATTGAATCACTACCGTGACACTTACCTTTCTGTTTGGTTGTAAATTCAGATTAAGAGGGAGATAAAAATATTGCAGAATCTTTGTGGAGGACCAAATATTGTGAAGTTGCTTGATATTGTCAGAGACCAGCAATCAAAGACCCCTAGTCTTATATTTGAATATGTGAATAATACAGATTTTAAGGTCCTTTATCCGACGCTCTCAGACTTTGACATACGATATTACATCTATGAACTTCTCAAGGTAAGCTTGCTGTTTTGGTTCTGCAATTTCTAAAATGACGAGTTGTGAGACTTTAATTCCCTTAGAAGAAACATGAATTAGATGTCCATAATGATGTGAGGTTTAAACTGAGGTAATTGTTTACATTTGCAAGGTTTGAAAGGTCAGTTTCTTTTCAAGGCCTAAAAAAGATCGATTTCTTTCTCTTTGGGAGTGATGGGTTGGGACTGGTAACTTCACTGCATTTTTCTTCTGTGCAATTTTTGTTTCTCACTTTACACTAGAAATAAGTTTGGGTTGCAGTACAGATCTAGGATTTATTTGGCTGGCTGCTAGTTAGTTTATGTTCTTTTGGGGAATGGCCTAGGTACTTTGCTCACCTTTATGCATGTCCACCAGGGTTGGAAACAAGGTGGGATGGTCTAGCTTAGGTATCTCCGTTTCCATTCTCAATCCTCATCCCCACACTTGCCTTGTTTTTTTAAAGAATACAGAAATTCCCCACCCTGCCCTGCGATAATATTAACCCCTCCTCATTGCCACCCTTTCCTAAATTTTTTTTTTTGGTTATTAGATAATAAAAATGAAATACATTTTTACAACCCTAACATAATATAATACATTTTACACACAATACTTGAGTAACTATGTACATCATAAAATAGCAAAAGTTAAATATTGGAATTAGCATATGTGATTTGAGCCATCCCTATCCTGCCCTGAATGTGAGGTGGGATTTACCACCCCACTTCAGTTGCTATTTATTTCCCCCAAATCTGCGACATTAGGGCAGGTTTTCCCCTCTGGGGCCTTGGGTTCACGAGATTATAGTGATCCTTAATCTTCACCCACAAATTTGGTTGGAAGAAAATATTGACAAAGGTAGATGATCCCAATAAGCAAGGAGAAAGCATATTGTCTTCAAAGTGACTAACACTAAGAGTTTCAATGAAATTTACAAGATGGGGTATACCTTTCTGCTTGTGATTATTAGAGTATTGTAAGAGAATGCTGAACGGTTATAGTTTTACTACTTAGAAGTCATGGATTGAGCCCCCTATAGGACTCAGATACAGGCAGCATCCTTTTTGAATTTTCTTTCGTATCTTAAATGTTCTTTAGGTTGGATCTTTTTATTGGTGAACTTTAGGTTGGATCTTGAAATCTACTGTCCGTATACTAAAGTAGAAGTTCATTCAGATGCTTATTTCTCAATTATCCCAAGCATAAGGTTCTATTAATAGACACTGAAAGGTGGAACAATTCAACTCACAGGAGTTATGTAGGACAAAACCATTGAAAAAGAAGGAAGGGAAGATTCATCTCTTCATACTTGAGGCAATCGGGCCTTAATTCTATACAATCTTGAATTTAAAA